ACGCGGGGCGACATTGGAGCGCGGGTTCGCACTGACGCGGGGCGACATGGAGCGCGGGTTCGCACTGACGCGGGGCGACATGGAGCGCGGGTTCGCACTGACGCGGGGCGACATGGAGCGCGGGTTCGCACTGACGCGGGGCGACATGAGCGCGGGTTCACACTGACGAGGGATGATATGGAGCGCGGGGCGGGGCGACATTGAGCGCGGGTTCACACTGACGCAGGGCAAGATTATCCCGGGTTCACACTGACGCGGGGCGACATGGAGCGCGGGCTCACACTGACGAGGGGCGATATTGATATCGCGGGTTCACACTGACGAGGGGCAACATGGAGCGCGGGTTCACACTGACGAGGGATGATATGGAGCGCGGTTCACACTGACGAGGGGCGATATTTATCCCGGGTTCGCACTGACGAGGGGCGACATTTAGCCCGGGTTCGCACTGACGAGGGGCGATATTTATCCCGGGTTCGCACTGACGCGGGGCGATATTTATCCGGTTCGCACTGACGAGGGGCGACATGGAGCGCGGGTTCACACTGACGAGGGGCGACATGGAGCGCGGGTTCGCACTGACGAGGGGCGACATGGAGCGCGGGTTCACACTGACGAGGGATGATATGGAGCGCGGGTTCACACTGACGAGGGGCGATATGGAGCGCGGGTTCACACTGACGAGGGGCGATAGTTATCCCGGGTTCACACTGACACGGTGCGGGAATTGCAGTGTTTTCTGGTGCTCCGCCTCACCTTCACACCCCGCTCATGTGAACCGCTGCAGGTGTGTAGGTGAACACCCCCCCCCCCCCCCAAAATGCGGTGTGGTGTACAGAATTGGATCACATGCGTGTGAAGATCCGTGTCATCCAAAAAAAAATTTCCGGCACCTTTTTGGTGCAATTTGATCCATTCTGTGCGGTGCCGATCGCCCCGCACACTTCTCACGTGTGATCCACATAGGAATGTGGCGCGGTTCCCGTGTGAATCACATGCGATATCCCGCAGCGCCTATGTGTAGACCCAGCCTGAGGAGACGCCTGCGAGTGTTTATATTAAAGGGAAACTCCAGCCCAATCCAGGCCTGCAACACACACAGGTGCTGGGTGACCTGCAAGATATTCATGGCCCCCCCAGCCCCCTGCTGGGCTCTGACAAAATACCTCGATGAAGGTGAGAAACACGTTTCAGCCGCTGCAGATACCTTACTGCTGCATCGGCTCCTGTCTGCTTTGCTGCTGAACATCACGCCAGCGAGTCGATGTCCAATCCAGCTGCCGACAGATCTTTTGCTTGTCAGCGTACAGTACGGGGCCCTTTCACTGCAAGCCTGATTTCAACATTTGACCTGCGTGGGGCCACGCCATATATAGGGTTACAGGAACTGAATGATGTGTTCATGTAGAGGAGGTGGTCTCAAAAACCTTTTGAGGCGAAAGGCTGCATGCATAGTCACAGGGAGCACCGACCTTCATAAGTCAGTGTGCTGAAATACCTCATCCTGTGTATTTTGGGAGCTGTGCAGCTGGTGCTGTTGTGACCGTGTGCTGCTATGTCATCAGATGGCAAGTTGGAACAAAGAGCCAACGTGAAATTCTGCTGAAACTGGGCGGGCCTGCTGTCCCCTCGGGGGCCACTCGATGTATTACAATACGATTCTAGCCGGGGGAAAGTGACAGCGGTGACCCCAAAGTGACATCATACACGGCGCTCTCCGGGCCACAGCAAGAAGGGGAGGAGAGTGGAGGTGTGTCCTCTCTCCCCTCCACCCACCTCCACTCGCCATGTTGGTCTCCGGGCCCCCGGTTGGGCAAGCAGAGCCAGGAATATATGAAGGGAGCGCAAACATGGCGGGGGTCACCATCGCCATCATAGCCGCCCGATGGCTCCCACTTGCCAGTTTTAGACACAATCCAATGGCTGCAGCCAAAACCCCTGCGCTGTCCGGTCTGGACGAGTAAGGGCCCCGGAGCCAAAGGGTTCAACTCCCAGCAAATAAAATAAAAAAAAATGTACCCCATGCAGTGAGGACTATTCTCGTTTTATCCAGAGGAGAGCAGAAATGATTTTACTTACCTACACCCCTGACAGGTGCTCCCCCCCCCCCCCCCCCACAATCGTGGACTGTCCCTTGGCATCATGTCCAGTGCGGGGCTATGGACCCAGCTCCCATCTTAATGATGTCAGGATCCTAGACTGCTGGAGTGTGGGGGAGGGGCATGTAATGTGACGTTGATGCTGGAAGCCAAGGGGGAATCTTTGGAACATTAAAGTATCCCTTTCACGGTAATTATTATTATTTTTTTCATAGTGTCCTGTGCAGATACATGACATGTAAGGAAAATTAAAAACTTTTTTTTTATATATACTGTATATGTATGTGTGTGTATATAGATATATATATACATCTCATGGTAATTCCTATTTCTTTTTCTTTCTTTTTTTTCATAGTGTCCTGTGCAGATACATGACATGTAAGCAAAATTAAAAAAAAAAAAAAAAAAAAAAAAAAAATATATATATATATTTATTTATTTTTTATCCCTTTCATGGTAATCAATGTCAATCACTGAACGTCATCATTGAAAGACTTTTGGACTCTGGAGCTCTCATTGAACTTTATACAATATCACTCTAAAGAAAAAAAAAAACATTTTTGGACAATGAAAAAAAAAAAAAAAGCTCCTTTTTTAAATTACAGAATCAACTCCCCGATGAGTTTAGGAAAAAGTAGTTTAAAAAAGTGTTTTTTTTTTTTTTTCATTGTCTAAAAATTTTAAAGGCATCAGTACACAAATATCAATCAAATATGCAAAAAATAATATACATTTTTTTCTTTCCTTACACATGATTAGGTAATTACTAAGCTAAGGGAAAATTCCCAAACAAAATCAACTCCCCAATGAGTTTAGGAAAAAGTAGTTTAAAAAAGCTTTTTTTTTTTAATAGTAATTTTTATTTTAGTTTAAATTTTTAAACAATGGAAAACAAAAAAAGGGACCTTTTTTTTTTTTTTTAAGCTACTTTTTCTTAAACTCGAGTTGAATTTGTAGTTTAAATTTTTAGACAATGAAAAAAAAAACCGGCCTTTTTTTTAAAAACTTTTTCTTAAACTCACTGAAGAGTTGGATTTTGTGAGGGAATTTTCCCTTAGCTAATGCAGGCCATAGATGGGGAGAAAAACGGCCGATTTTTCGTCCGAAAATAAAACCGGCCGATTATCTTATCGTTAGTGGACGATTTTGTCGGCCGTTTTTCGTGTATTTTGGACTTTCAGATTATCGTTGATGTTGGAAAATTTTCGAAAAACGCCCGACTTTATCCTCATTGATGGTCAAAAACGAACGATCGTTTTCTGAAAAAGGATCACAAAGGCCACAAAATGACATCATTTCCCGTTATAGGTTACTCATTAATCGGCCGATTTTCGTAATAATTGGTGGTCAGGTAAGTTTTTTAGACCGACCGATAGTTCGTTAATCGGCCGAAAATCTGCCGTTTTTCTCCCCATCTATGGCCTGCATTAGTAAATGTGATTACTCAATCATGTTTAAGGAAGGAAAAAAAAAGAAAAAACATATTTTTTGCATATTTGGTTGATACTTGTGAACTGATGCTTTTACATTTTTAGACAATGAAAAAGAAGAACCCCTTCTTTTTTTAAACTACTTTTTCCTAAACTCACTGGGGAGTTGATTTTGTGAGGGAATTTTCCCTTCGCTTAGTAAATGTGATTACCCAATTGTGTAAGGAAAATTAAAAAATAAATAAATATATATATATATAATATATATATTTTATTTTTTTTTTTATCCTTTTTCATGGTAATTTTTTTTTTTTTTTGTGTTTCATAGTGTTCAGTGCAGATACATGACGGATGTGATGTCATCACTGAACGCCATCATTGGCAGACTTTGGACTCTGGAGCTCTCATTGAACTTTATACAATACACAATATCACCCTTTAAAGAAAAAAAAAAGGAGCATTTTTTTTTTTTCTTCATTGTCTAAAATTTTTTCTTTTTTAAACTACTTTTTCTTAAACTCATTGGGGAGTTGATTTTGTATTTTAAAAAAAAGGAGCATTTTTTTTTTTAATTGTCTAAAAATTAAAACAACTTTTCCTAAACTCACTGGGGAGTTGATTTTGTGAGGGATTTTCCCTTCGCTTAGTAAATGTAATCACCCAATTGTGTAAGGAAAATTAATAAAAATATATTTTTTTTTTGTATCCCGTTAATGGTAGTTCATATTTTTTTTTTCGTGGTGTCCTGTGCAGATACACGACGGACGCGATGTCCTTCACTGAACGCCATCATTGGCAGACTTTGGACGCTGGAGCTCTCATTGAACTTTATACAATACACAATATCACTCTTTAAAAAAAAAAAAAAAACAAAACAAAAAAACACATTTTTATTGGTTGTTGAAAACAGATCTCACACGTCCAAACCAGTTTTCTTCCAAATATTTGTAATTTGAAAAGAAATATTGAAAACGCCGTCAGCACAAGCAGAGCGCGGTCCTCATCACACTAGACATTTCCGTACTGATAAGTGGCAGTTTAATCCCCCCCACCCCCTGGTCTGCAGTGCATGCTGGAAAGAAAGATGTCCTCTGTTGGTGGGTAATACCATCCTCGGACCCTCAAATGTTCATAAGTGACTTGGAGATGGTTGGGAGTCTCCCATGGAAACGGGAGGGGGGAGGGGAGCCATATGTTTGAATTGTCCACAGCATGCTGTCCTATAGACCGAAATCCACGGAATGGTCCATTAAAGGGGGAGTTCTGGTCCTTTTAGGTCTTTTATGAATAATCAGCTGGAGTGTGTTCCCTGGTGCCGTGGTTACCCGTTCTATGAGCTCTCTGCAACCTAACCACAAGCGGAGGCCATGAGGAGATCATGAGAACCTGCCCAGAAGCATTATGAAGGGCCTGCTGAATTTGGCAAAAATGGATTGCCTATTACCCAGAATAGAGTGGGAGGAACCTTCTGATGTTGTTAGGTGCCCCGGTGCCAGGTTCCAGAAGTAACTTGGTGCCTTGCCGTGGTCTTTGCAGTCCCGGAAGATCTCAGGTAGCATGCTTATGGTGGTTGTGGATGCAGAGCCAGCAGCGGCTTCTGAAGGATTTGGAGTGGCAGGATCGAGAGGCATCGGTCGCTGAGGTCACACTAGAACACAGAAAACATGGTGTCGTTATTAGAGCCTTCAGGAAGTCTTTGTGTTTATAAACTACAATACGTAGTCAGTGTTGATAGGGGAATCCCTCCCCCGGAGCCATTGTGTTCTCCCATGCGGCAGGCTGGTTGTACCCAAGTTGAATGGTCAACGTGGGTACATTCAGCCAGCTCACACGTGCTTCGAATCTCAGCCAGTTCCAAGATTTGAACCGTCTATGGCCAGTTTAACTGGCTGAGGAAGGAAGAGGCTGACTCCATTCACTCTGAAGACCTGAAGTCTCTGAAGTTTAAACCTACTTCCAGCAGCCTCCTGAAAGCTGGAGATCTCTCTTGTAGTTCTCCTCCCACATTTGTATGGCATCCGGCTAAGTTGTCTCTTTAAGCAGGTGCAAGTACAGGCTTGACAACCTTCCCTATGGTGCAGCTATCCTGCATCCCCATACCTCAATGGGATGGTGGAGAATTGTTAAATGGGAAGGTTGTAATGGGAGCATCTTCAGATGTGACATTCAGATGTTGTAGATACTCCAAATACATGCTCTGTATGGACACCCCGACTATCACACCAATATTGCTTTGTTGGACAACCCAATCCAGAACCATGGTTCGACCCAAGTTGATGGATCAACTTGGGTACATTCAACTTGCCCACACATGGCTCGAATCTCGGCCAGTTCCTGCTGAACTGGCCAAGATTTGATCTGTCTATGGCCTTTTTAACTGGCTAAGACAGGCTGAGAAAGGAAGAGGTTCTGTCCATTCACTCTGAAGATATGAACTTACCCCCTCCTACACTTTACTCTGCAGCTCTTACAACCTCCACTCTTTTACGAAGACTTTCTCCAATCATTTGGAGGGTGTCTGTGGGAATTTGTGTCAATTTGGCCAAGAGAAGTTTTGAGAGGTCACCTTTGGTATTTCTAAGGTGTTCAGTAGGGTGTAGGTCAAGACTCTGTGCAGGACACTCAGGTTCCTCCACACCAGTCTCATCAAACCATGTCTTTATGGATTTTGGAGGGTGTCTGTGGGAATTCGTGCCAAGAGAGGTTTTAAGAGGTCAAGAACAGATGTTGAAGAAGAAGACGTGGTCACCTTTGGTATTCCTAAGGTGTTCAGTAGGGTGGAGGTCAAGACTCTGTGCAGGACACTCAGGTTCCTCCACACCAGTCTCTGCAAACCATGTCTTTATGGATTTTGGAGGGTGTCTGGAAATTTGTGCCAAGAGAAGTTTTGAGAGGTCGGGTACTGATGTTGGAGAAGAAGACTTGGTCACCTTTGGTATTCCTAAGGTGTTCAGTAGGATGGAGGTCAAGACTCTGTGCAGGACACTCAGGTTCCTCCACACTAGTCTCATCAATTCATGTCTTTATGGGTCTGGCTTTGCACCCGTGCACAGTCCTTCTGGAACCGAAACAGACCTTCCCGAAACTGTTACCACAAGATTGAAGGAACGTTCACAACCGGCATTCCAATTCATAGCAACGGTGTTGAGGTCAGGGCTCTGTGCAGGCCACTGGAGTTCCTCCACACCAAGCTCACCAAACTGTCTTTATGGATCTGGCTTTGTACACAGAGGTACAGTCATGGTGGTACCAAAAAGGGCCTTCACTGAACCTTTCCCCAAGGCTGGAAGTGCACAATTTTTTAAAACGTCTTAGCATGTTGTATGTTAGGAAACTCCTAAACTCAACAATTCGGAGGGGTGTCGGCTTATTTTGATAGGTGTCAGCAAATGTCTACCTATACAATCTATATCTGAAATGTCCTGCTTTGGGAACCAAATTCCCCCAGTCCCTATGCCCCAATGGCAACATTTGTATATTTTGCAGCCCATCTTGTCTTTCTCAGAAAGATTGAAGTTGTGAAAATATCACCAACCCCCCTAGAAGGCAATATAGAACGACACCTCACCTTGGACCTCCGTCCTGTGGTTCCTCCACTGGGCTCTGGTCAGGAAGTTGCCGGAGGATCCGGATGAGCTGGGTGAGCTGCAGCACGGTCAGCTCAGAAGTTGGCTGCGCTTGGCGTCTGCGGGTGTGCTGTAAACATGGAGGCGTGCCCAGAAATAAAGAGAAGCTCCTCCTATTCATCCCCATGACCTGCTTAGCCGGTTTATTACCATAGCAGGAGGCATACTGGGGGAAAAAGAGACAAGAAAGTTGTCATTATTTGTACATATAATAAATTATCCCAGAGGTCCGATAATGCTAAAAATTTACTAAAACTTCTTCCGATCTCTTTGGTTTCCATTTCCTCTGTTGCAAAAAACACAAAACATTTCTCCCTCCTACCCTGCAATATATATACAGAATGGGGAAGAAAGGGGATTTAAGTGACTTTGAAGACAACATGGTTGTTGATGCCATATGGGCTGGTCTGAGTAATTAAAAAAAAATTTTTTTTTTTCTTTTTTTTTTCTGTGATTTTCAAAAAATTAACCAAAGATTTGGAAAATATATAATACTCTTAAAAAAAAAAGAATGGGAAAAATGGAAATACTCAAAGTAAAGAATGGGAAAATTTAAATAATTTAAATAAATAATGAATGGGAAAATATTGTAACACTTTAAGAATGGGGAAAAATGTAAATAGTTTAAATAGGGAATGGGGGGAAAATGTAAATAATTTCAATGTAAAAAATGGGGAACAATGTAAATAATTTAAATAACGAATGGGAGAAAATGTAAATAATTTCAATGTAAAAAATGGGGAATAATAATTTAAATAACGAATGGGGGGAGAAGTGTAAATAATTTAAGAAAAGATTGGAGAAAAAGCTAAATCACATAACTAATGAACTGGAAAATTGAAACTATTTTTAAATAATGATTGAGAAAATGTTTCAATACTTTAAGAATGGAGAAAAAATGTAAATCATTTAAATACAGAATGGAAATATTTTAAATCCCTTAAAAATTTCCCATTTGTTATTTCAAATATTTCCATTCTTTATTTAAATTATTTACATTTTCCCAATCTATAGTTAAATCATTTTTTTTTGCCATTTTTTTTTTTTTTTTTTTGCCATTCTTTACATAAATCACTTATAATTTTCCCGTTCATTAGTTAAGTAAAGAATGGCAAAAAAAAAAAAAAAGTTAATGATTTAACTATAGATTGGGAAAATGTAAATGATATAAATAAAAAAATTGAATAACTTGAAATAATGAAATGGGAACATTATAAGTGATTTAAAATATTTCCATTCTTATTTAAATGATTTAAATTTTTTCCATTCTTAAAGTATTAAAACATTTTCTCAATCATTATTTAAAATTGTTTCAATTTTCCCGTCCTTTAGTTATATCATTTAACTTTTTCCCAGTCTTTCCTTAAATTATTTACATTTTTCCTCCGTTCGTTATTTAAATTATTTAAATTTTTCCCATTTCTTTTACATTTACAAGTGAAGAATGGTAACATAAATATTATAAAAATGAGAAAACAAGAAGTACTATTAATAGATGAGTTTTTCATCCCTAACCAACTATTATCTGTCCAACTCTCTCCACACTGCGTGACATTAACCCCCTCCATTCTGCAAAAAAATAAATCCTACGTGAATTAAAAAATGAATCCTGATTGGTTACTCTAAGTGAGGCTGGATACAGACCAAATTAATTTTTTTATCTGATTCGGTAGAGATTAAATTTTGGGATCGATAATGAAAAAAAAAAAAATCATGATAAAGCAAAGACTGTTATTTGAAGTTTGAAGGACCTTTCTACCAATCAGGTGTTTTCAATTATTTTTCTGATGGAAAGCAGATCTCCCGTTGTCTCCGATCGTGTTTTGATTGTTTCTGCGCAGAAAGCAAACCCAACCTCGTGAAGTCGGTTGATGTTGGGCAAGTAATAGTCGCTTCTTGGCCAGGCTTGCTGCCCTTTGGGTCTACACCTCCCGGCACGCCATGCCTTGACCTATCGCTCCTCCACCTGGAAGACCGCCATGCCACCCATGCCTTGACCTATCGCTCCTCCACCTGGAAGACCACCATGCCACCCATGCCTTGACCTATCGCTCCTCCACCTGGAAGACCGCCATGCCACCCATGCCTTGACCTATCGCTCCTCCACCTGGAAGACCACCATGCCACCCATGCGTTTACCTATTGCTCCTCCACAGCTGGAAGCATGCCATGCCACCCATGCCTTGACCTATCGCTCCTCCACAGCTGGAAGCATGCCATGCCACCCATGCCTTGACCTGTCGCTCCTCCACCTGGAAGACTGCCATGCCACCCATGCCTTGACCTATCGCTCCTCCACAGCTGGAAGCACGCCATGCCACCCATGCCTTGACCTATCGCTCCTCCACAGCTGGAAGCATGCCATGCCACCCATGCCTTGACCTATCGCTCCTCCACAGCTGGAAGCACGCCATGCCACCCATGCCTTGACCTATCGCTCCTCCACAGCTGGAAGCATGCCATGGCACCCATGCCTTAACCTATCGCTCCTCCACCTGGAAGACCACCATGCCACCCATGCCTTGACCTATCGCTCCTCCACAGCTGGAAGACCACCATGCCACCCATGCCTTGACCTATCGCTCCTCCACAGCTGGAAGACCACCATGCCACCCATGCCTTGACCTATCGCTCCTCCACAGCTGGAAGCATGCCATGCCACCCATGCCTTGACCTATCGCTCCTCCACCTGGAAGACCACCATGCCACCCATGCCTTGACCTATCGCTCCTCCACAGCTGGAAGACCACCATGCCATCCATGCCTTGACCTATCGCTCCTCCACAGCTGGAAGACCGCCATGCCACCCATGCCTTGACCTATTGCTCCTCTCCACCTGGAAGACCGCCATGACACCCATGCCTTGACCTATCACTCCTCCATAGCTGGAAGACCACCATGCCACCCATGCCTTGACCTATCGCTCCTCCACAGCTGGAAGACCACCATGCCACCCATGCCTTGACCTATCGCTCCTCCACAGCTGGAAGACCACCATGCCACCCATGCCTTGACCTATCGCTCCTCCACCTGGAAGACCACCATGCCACCCATGCCTTGACCTATCGCTCCTCCACAGCTGGAAGACCACCATGCCACCCATGCCTTGACCTATCGCTCCTCCACAGCTGGAAGACCACCATGCCACCCATGCCTTGACCTATCGCTCCTCCACAGCTGGAGGACCACCATGCCACCCATGCCTTGACCTATCGCTCCTCCACAGCTGGAGGACCACCATGCCACCCATGCCTTGACCTATCGCTCCTCCACAGCTGGAGGACCACCATGCCACCCATGCCTTGACCTATCGCTCCTCCACAGCTGGAGGACCACCATGCCACCCATGCCTTGACCTATCGCTCCTCCACAGCTGGAAGACCACCATGCCACCCATGCCTTGACCTATCGCTCCTCCACAGCTGGAGGACCACCATGCCACCCATGCCTTGACCTATCGCTCCTCCACAGCTGGAAGACCACCATGCCACCCATGCCTTGACCTATCGCTCCTCCACAGCTGGAAGACCACCATGCCACCCATGCCTTGACCTATCGCTCCTCCACAGCTGGAAGCATGCCATGCCACTCATGCCTTGACCTATCGCTCCTCCACCTGGAAGACCACCATGCCACCCATGCCTTGACCTATCGCTCCTCCACAGCTGGAAGACCACCATGCCATCCATGCCTTGACCTATCGCTCCTCCACAGCTGGAAGACCGCCATGCCACCCATGCCTTGACCTATTGCTCCTCCACCTGGAAGACCGCCATGACACCCATGCCTTGACCTATCACTCCTCCATAGCTGGAAGACCACCATGCCACCCATGCCTTGACCTATCGCTCCTCCACAGCTGGAAGACCACCATGCCACCCATGCCTTGACCTATCGCTCCTCCACAGCTGGAAGACCACCATGCCACCCATGCCTTGACCTATCGCTCCTCCACCTGGAAGACCACCATGCCACCCATGCCTTGACCTATCGCTCCTCCACAGCTGGAGGACCACCATGCCACCCATGCCTTGACCTATCGCTCCTCCACAGCTGGAAGACCGAAACCTTCATATACTACAACATTGAATTTGTACTCACGGGAAGAAAAGTAGCCATTTTCTGGGATTCAGGATAATGCAGCCAACAGTCCGTACCGCGACTCCGTGATCCTCCCTGCACCTCCCGACCACTCAGCCTTTATAGTGCACCCCCCTCCCCAAATGTCTGTCCCTCGGAGTGTCGGGTGTCCCTGTGATCTCACCCCCTCTCAGGTTCTGTGTGTGTCACTCGTGTTACACCATCACACAGATCACTGAATGAATCTTATGAATTAAACACCGAGGCGTGTTTCCCGACCACACCTCGCATCTGTCAGCCTCCCAGTCACGTCTCTGTCCTGACCGCACGGCACCATCATCTCGCTGACACACAATGCCGAAAAAACCCGACACCCAAAACACATCCAGCAGGTTGGGGAGGTTCTGATTGACACCCACTGGGCTTCATTGTGGGGAAATGTACATTGGATCCAGTGCAGATACAGTCATAGTACACATGGACAGCGCCTTGAAGAAGTCCCCCTCCCCCCTGAAATGTCCCCCATGTTGTCATGTTACAATGTATTCCCCCCCCCCCCCCATGTTTTGTCATGTTACAATGTATTCCCCCCCCCCTGAAATGTCCCCCATGTTGTCATGTTACAATGTATTCCCCCCCTCCCCCCTGAAATGTCCCCCATGTTGTCATGTTACAATGTATTCCCCCTCCCCCCCTGAAATGTCTCCCATGTTGTCATGTTACAATGTATTCCCCCCCCCTGAAATGTCCCCCATGTTGTCATGTTACAATGTATTCCCCCTCCCCCCTGAAATGTCCCCCATGTTGTCATGTTACAATATATTCCCCCCCTCCCCCCTGAAATGTCCCCCATGTTGTCATGTCACATTGTATTCCCCCTCCCCCCTGAAATGTCCCCCATGTTGTCATGTTACAATGTATTCCCCCTCCCCCCCTGAAATGTCCCCCATGTTGTCATGTTACAATGTATTCCCCCTCCCCCCCTGAAATGTCCCCCATGTTGTCATGTTACAATGTATTCCCCTCCCCCCTGAAATGTCCCCCATGTTGTCATGTTACAATGTATTCCCCTCCC